TGAAATCGTCATGTGCAAAATTTATCCAAGTGCTTAGAGCTGCGAGCAATACTGGGGGGAAAAAAAAGTAGCTCTCTACACAATATATATTTTACCACTTACATGTTTAATTTATCTCCACACTTGTCTCCTATCTGCCCTTTTTTACAGAATCCTGTGAGAGCAAACTGTTTTTCTTTTGGCGATTTAAAAACCCCCAAAACAAATCAGTTAGAATGGAGTAATTTAGATCATTTAAATTTGGCTAATTTGTGTGTCACACACTCCTCACTCGTCTCTACTCTGTGTGATGTCACAACCTGGCTCATGGGTTATAACAAACATGGCAACGAACACAGATTTAACTCAAAATAAGGACGTTTATTATAACCACAAGCAAACCATTTAACAAATAGTTGCATGTCTAGTGACTATCAGTAGGTGTGAATGAGTGAACATGATGGGATGTGAGGTGTTGTGGAACAGAAACAAAACAAAACGGTAACAGAACGATGGGTCACCACCAACGAAGCCGGGTCAGAATGAGAGAGAGCAAGAGAGGGATGGCTGAGATTTATGGGCCGTCCTGATGCCTTCAGGGACCCACAGGTAAAGGGAATTCTAGGCCTCCATGACAGCAGCTGACATTGGGCCGTCACAGTAAACACAGCCTGCAGTTCAACCGAAAAGAAGTTTTGTCACCAGACTGTTGCAGGAGAGTCGCTCATGGCTCAGAGTAGCCCAGAATTAATATTTGAGAGCAAACAATGTATTTTTTGTAGAATGAAGTGATTCTGATGAAATATCAACATTTCAGGGTTTGATTTTGGGAGTTTTTCTCACCAAAACGTCCGTCACAGATGAGTAGTTCAAGGACCAGCAGACAGTCGAACATCTACTACTTCTTTCTGCTCTTACACTTCATCACCAGTGGATCCTGCAGCCTCACAGCTTATTGTTTAGCCGCTTGTTCTGCAGCTTCACTCATCCGAAGGTCATTTGTAGTTGAATCAAAACGAGGATTACATGGAAGTAAGTGGAATGTTGCAACCAGCGGAAAGAAGAAGCAGAGAGACGAGGCTTTGTAAGAAAAAATTACCGCAGTACAATTAGACACAAGAGAGAATCCGAGACAGTCTACAAACACATTAGAGCATGAATTGGAGCGTGGTGGAGCTCCGGGAGCCGCCGGTTAGAGGCAGAGTGGGCAGCACAGAGGGGCATTGTGGGTCTCAGCTGCACGCTGGCACTGGTTCAAGCACACACACACACACACACACACACACACACTCACACATTAACACACACAGACACACACACACGGGGAAGCCACACAATCGCAAACTGTGTTCGAGAGAGATGCTGCAGACGAGCAGCGAGATTGTACGAGTATGAATCAGACACAATAACAAAACGCCTTTTACCCCGCAAACAAAGTATGTACGTTTAAACTGACTCTGTGTAAATAAGACAAATGATCTTGTTTTGTGTGTTTAGTTTACTGAGATGATGAGTTTCTGCAAAGGTTTGTCGATTAGTGGCTCATTTTTAAATTAGTCGGGAACTGTTTTAATTATTAAGTAACAGGTTTGAGTCATTTTTTAAGAATATAAGTTGAATTTTTTTCTCATCTGAGCTTCTTACATCAGGATATTTTTTGTTTTTTTCCTCCTTTATGGCGGCAAACTGAGTGTCTTTGGGCTTTGGGTTAAAAAAACAAACATTTAAGGACTTTTGTCACCATTTTCTGATATTTTATAGACCAAACAATTTATCATTAAACAAGCTGCAGCCCCACAGGGAATAATAAATCAATATGTAGGGAACAAGATGCACCCAAAAAGTGTGATTACAGACATGATTTTACACTGAAAACACAATATACCATTTATATTTTAAATCTGATGCTTGGTCAAAGAAAAAAAGATCTGGTTTTAATGTATTTAGTATATTAAGATGATGAAAAATACATTTCCTGCAATGATTAGTTGATTACAACTATTAAAAATAATTGCCAACCATTTAAATAATTCATTTTTAAATTTTTTTTTTAAGAAAACACAGTTCAAAATGTCTCATTTCAGCTTCTTACATCAGAATATTTCCTCTTTTTTTCTTCCTCTTTGACGGTAAACTCAGAATCTTTGGATCGTGGTGAAAACAAAACATTCGAGGACACATTCGTGGACTTTTATTTAATTTTCGGACCAAACAACTCATCAAAAACCAAGAAAACAATCTTTAGTTGCAGCCCTGCTGTGATAATAAATCAATAACTGGGTAATAAAGGTACAATCTGTCGGTATATATTCTTAAATCGTCACACAAAAAGCCTCATCCAGCCAGATTACATCAGGTTAATGGAGTTTAAGTGCGTTGGTGAGCTGCTGAGTGATTGATTTAACGCACGCTGGATAAATTCTTTTGCTTCCAACGGGAGTCATTAAAGTTTCATTTTATCAGCCTTTTAAAATAAAAGCCCTCATATTTAGTCTCAATTGAGCCGAAGCCGTCGAGTTATAAAAGGACATTTATTGAAGTGAACGGCCTCTTTTGTCTGCACCTTCTCGTTTTTTAATATACATTTACATCTGATTAAGTCACCGCAGATCTCTGACTGAGTGCGAGGCCGGTTTTGTCTTCTCATGTGATGGTTGGTGGCGGTTTTCTGTGTGAATAATACCAATAAAACCTAATTGATTACAGTGTATGATGTTGATTGATTGATTAGTTGATTGTCTAGGTTAAAAATAAAAATCTACCATCATCATTTTGAGGTTTTATACACGTTTTTGGTGCCGAATACCTTCAAGTATTTATTATTCCTTTCTCAAAAAGCTTTGTAAAGATTCTAAGGGACCACGTCATCACTGTAGTATTAAATTAGCTTTGTGTGTGTGTGTGTGTGTGTGTGTGTGTGTGTGTGTGTGTGTGTTGTGCTTCCTCAAACCAAACCGGTTTGACTGCAGCTGCCGGTGAATGTTTTTATATCAGGACATGAAGCAGGGATCCAGAAGATTAACTGTGTTTCTGTAGAGTAGCTGCCGTCCTCGTGTATCTTACCCCAGTTTCTGGGCGTCTTGTCATATTTCACCGCAGGGCTCGTTTTTCACCGTAATATAAAGTTCTGCACCTCGAAGGGAACAAGCCGTGAGCAGAAGTAGAGGAAATACTGAAATGTCTTCTGTGTAGAATAACAAAGTTAGAACGCCATAAATCATTTAATTTAAAATAAAAAAAAAGCAGAAGAAGTTGCATTTCATTGATTATTAATTTAGCAAAATAAGAGAAATACTAAGAGAAATGTAATATTCAAAACATTTTTAAAGTGCCCACAGGTGTTAAAAATACAGACTTGACATACTGTAGATATTTTACTTTTTTACATTTTTATTTTATTAAATCTTTGTCTTGTTTCTGCTCCAAGCCTGAGCTTCAACCCAGCACAGCTGCTATATTAGCTGCAGCTATATTATTCACGGCTTTTCAGTTGTAGTGAGGATTTTATTTTTTTATTTTTTACAGAATATTTCACTGCACATTTGTTTTCTACATACAAATCCGGTTCGGAACCAAAAGTCTTAATATGTGCCTTACGCAGATTCTTCTGTTCTCTTTTGTGTTTACTGATATTTTTAGCTTATTATATGTTCAGATTTTTACATTTTTTAGCCTATTATATGTTTAAATTGTATATTTTGTAGCTATTTATGTTTATCTTAATTATTTTTTAGTATGTATATTTTTTACTGTTTTTTTTTTTTTTATGTAAATGAGGGTTCAAGAGAAACACAATTTCACTTCTCTGTATGTGCACACATGTAGTACAATTGACAATAAAGTGACGTTGACTTTGACTGAGAATCTGGTTAGAGGTTTATTTTTGGTGATTAATTAAAAAACGAGGCCTGTAGAATGGAGTAATTTAGACGAAATATCATGGTTTTAGTCTTATATTTTCTTAATTTTTAAAATTAAACTGCATGTTGCACACGATCAGTTAAAGAACCTTCAAAAAGCTGAAACTGTGACAATTTATTTAGTTTTTACAGTTTCTGTCTCTGATAAATGGTCGATTTTTGGTGATTTAAAAAAAAATTCTTAACCCCCTGGCAGGTTTAGAGGTTCAGAGGATTCGCTCAGTTTCATTACAAACAGTTTGTAGACGAGTTTTCTCATAATAAAATTAATTTGATTTTAAATCTTGTAGCAGCATCGTAACAAATTCCACCAAACCACATCGTCCGATTTTTTTCCTTACTGCTGCCTTTCGTCTCCCGATGCTGCAGATACGAAGCGGTTGACTTTGACTCTGTGACATTAGAAACTTTTAATGAATAACTGCCCTTGGGGGGGAAACAATCAGACTTTCATAAGATCACATTATGTATAAGAGATCACTTCCTGCCAGACTGGAATTAATTATCTTTTTGACTTTATTAAATTTAAAAAAAATATAGCTCCCTCCCCCCTTCATGCACATGGACTCGTATATGCAGATAGATAATAATATACTCCACAGGCGCCACTGAAATAAGCAGAATTTAACTGTTTACAGCGTTCCTGGGACGTTTCTGATGCTGGAAAATTAAGATTCTCTTCCTTTAATCTCCTGTACAGAGATCAGGAACATAAAAAGTGCTTGTCATAGGTTTTGTTTCGCATGCAAGCGAGAAAGCAAAGCGTTCAGATGTTCTGATGTTTATCTTTCTTTGCTCTTCTTCCAGGTGGCGAAGGACGTCTCCATCCGTCTCCACAGCCAGCTGGACAGCGTGGAGAAGAAAAGGAGTCACCTGGACCAGGAGAACGAGGAGCTGAGGGTCCGACTGCAGGACCTGGAGGTCGCCAAGCAGGTTCTGCAGCAGGAGATCGACAAGGTAGGATCCCAGTATCCGAACCGTGAAGAACATGTTTGTTTAAGAGTCCATCAGGATGTGCTGGTTGGTGCAGCTCAGTGAAGGTTTTCTTTGTGTCGGTATGTAAATAAGACGGGGTTAAGCTGCACCGTTCCCACAATCCCACACTGTGTTTGGGTAAATCTTCCCTGTTGAAGGAGATTACTGGTGTTTTGACCGGACCAGAACCTTCGGCTAAACACTGAGGTTCCGGCAGATCCTTATTTAGCCCGTCGGCTTTTCTGTTGGCCGTTTAAAGAAAACAACGTTCACCGCGCTCAGTTTGTGTCGAGAGTCTGTTCTCATCTAGACTTCATTCCTGCCACTCTGCTGCCACTCCAGGGACTTTTCTGTTACACTAAGTGTAGCCGGTAAAACGCCGCAATGAGAAAAGGAAGAATAGAAATGGCCGTCAGGGCCAGCGGAGGTGGAAATAAACGAACCAGAGTTGTGCTGTTTGTTAAAGTATAAACACATCCAGAGTTTCCACCGTGAGAAGCGCTGCTGACTCCTTCGTTGTCTTCGGTCTAGTTTGAGTAAAAAGCAGAAAATGAGACCCCATCTTTTCCGTCCTTTTCTCTCTCTGTCTTTCTTTCTTTCTCCTCCTCATTGGTGTGATGGTCGCGGCCTTGGCCCAGGACCAGGCTGCTGATGTGGGTCAGGGTTGGACGGATGGTTGGGTCGCTGGCAGGGGATGTAGGTCTGTCTGCTCGGGTCTGACTGGACTCTGTGTTCCCTGAATGCCGGTGAGCTGTTTGTAGACGGCTGGAAAATCATCACTCTGTCTTTTGGCTTTTGTCTTTGACTAATGAATGTAAAATCTTGATTATAGTCCCTTGCAGACATTGTTGTTATTAGTCGCTATTATACTTTTCTAGTCCACTTGGAGGACTTCACTCCATACAACAAAGTCACACCTACCTATTATGTGCCAAACATGCATTAATACTCAATTACAAATGCAGAAAGCATTATTATTATTATTATTAGCATATTTCAAACTTAACTGCGGTCTTGCTGTTTAATACTGTTTATGGGCGTTTAGCTAGCAAAGGAGCACCATGACTTGTATAGTCGTACTGATCTCAGGCCAGCAAATAAGTTTGAAATAAAGGTTAAATTAAAGAGAACAGTCATGTTACCCCTCAGTAGACCCTCTGATGACGTAATTTAGATGTTGTTTTTTGGGTTAAATCTAGTTGGTTCCATCATAGCCTAGATTTATCCCAAATGTAGTTGTTGAAATTGGGTTGCGTTTGGACCGTCCAATTGTGTCCCATAGCTAGCTAGCTATTTCTATCTAGGCAAGTCAGGTAACAGAAACCGGAATGAATGTTTGTGAATGAAAAATTGACAATATGAAGAGTTTTAGGTCAAACCTTTTTAGCGGGAGGGACTACAGTACCCATAATGCAACGCAAGTTGATTAAGAGATGTCTTAATAGAGACGTCTTTTCAACTGCCTGAAAAAAGTCGGCTTTTCACTTGTCACTTTTCAACCAAAATTGAGTTTAGACGTATGGCAAAGACGTCTTTTCAACCTTTTTGTTGCTGGGTGGGTTTGGCAACACTTTTTTTTAATGTACCTGTGTGAGAGCGGATAATAAGTTGGACATCGGTTTTCAGAGGATTTTAAATACTTTAAAAGTCTCACGATTGGCAACGGTTAAGTTAGGAACATGCCTAGTCTGCTGGTAGGACTTAGTTCATGATGTGTCCGGTAGGTTGTATCGGCCTGTTCGATGCATACATGCTACTGCTGACAACCTTACTGGTCAAAATGTTGTTGAGTAGTTTGTTATCTGCTAAGTTTTGCACAGACCTGCAAAAGAGGAAATGTTTTGCGTGCTTTTTGCATTGTAAATTCTCATTTTAATGTTGTTTTTCTCCACACTGTAAAACCGGCCAAGTAAATCTGCTCCAGTTATTTTCCGTCTTGCATATCTGCGTGTTGACTGATGGGATGACTGGTGCACGGAGGGCTTCTGTGGCTGTTTGCTCGCTGACGGGCTAACGTGGTTTCATAAGCTGTGTTTGTTGTGGCGAGTTATGCGAACCCTTCGCTGAAAGGAGTTCTTCACATAGCTGATGTGATTCAGAGAGCCGCGCTCATCCACGCAGGAATGTCTCGCTTTTGATTAGACAGTGCAAACACGGCGCTTCAAGTACGTCCCAGACGGTGAAAAACTGAAGGACAGATAAGAAGAACGGACTCCTATAGAGAGCGACAAAGAGACGTACACGGATATAATAGAAAAGTGAGTGTATTAAAGCTAAACAGACTGGACAGAGGGATGTTTAACCACACAGACAGGGCTACCCGCAGACAATGAAGGCTTTGATAATTCACAGGTGAAGAGGAGGTTTGTGAATTATTGATTGCTGGGCGGCTGCAGCCTACAGTCTGCACTGATATTGATATTCTTTAAAAAGCCGACTTATGCGATGCACTGGCTGGACCTCAGTATTGTACTGAGAGCTGGAGAGCGATTCAACCGACAGTCTTAATGCTGCAGAAACAGAAGGAGAAACAGTTCAAATTATCCAAATTTTAAAAACCGATCATAACCAATTATATTTTGTCTACAAGTCTCACCCTGTATGCACATATATTTATGAGAAAAGAATGTTTCACCTCTTTCACATGATCGCTAAATGCTAACATTATGCATGTGATTCATAATCACACTAAAATATTTTCAGCTCTTGTTTTTTTTCAAAAGCCAATGTTATGTAATCACACCATCCCCTCACTTTAGCTGTATTTAGCCACATTTTCTTAGAAGCTAATTCAAGCTGTAGCTGCTCTCCTGTGTCACTACTGTCTGTCTTCTATGTAAAACATTGTGAAAGCCTCAGATATTGATGTTAA